CTGACTTCAAACTGAATCACTTCAGACAACCGTATGCCCACTCCGAGCAAATCCAATTCATGTTACGGCCAATCAAAACTCCACTCCAATGAAAGACCTGTCCAGTCATTAAGCATCGCTCCATCACTATTTGAATGCACTCAGCTATATCAGAGGCAGAGGATGGAGGCGCTGCCCTGGCTGTAATTGTGTTTAGCTGTTTAGATGTATGAGGGAATGGGGACATATGGGCTGTATGTATTTAGCCTCCAACTAGATGAATGGCTTTAATAACTGGAGGGGACTTAAAAGGCCATTTCATAATTACTGCTTACCTCTACTGGATTACAGCAGCGCGGCCGCGGTGGCAGAGTACGGATGAGGTTTGGAGCGAACTACGTGGAGTGGGACATGTGCCATTTGTAAATGTGTGGCGGATAAAGGTGCTTGTGCAATGAGGGAGAACTGCAGAGTGCACACACATACACACACCTGCACAGTGCTATACTTGTGAAGGCCTTCATTGACTCCTAAACCCTCTGCTTAACTTTAATATGGGAATCAGTATACATGATATTTATGCCATGACCAATCATAGCTTCCAGCGCTTCACAAGCTGCATGATGTGCAACGGGCAGGGAGCTTGTTGTAGATGTTGTCAAGGCAAAACATCCTGTGCATTAGTCTTATCGCTGGGGTCTCGCGAAGCATCCTGAATTAGTGGGCTTTACGGGCTTCACCAATTTATGAGCAGCAGCAGTCAAAAAGAGCAGCAACACGTACGTTTTTCCTGATTTTTAAAAGTTCACACTCGTCGTCTCACCTCAGAAAAAATATTTTCGGAGGCATCCCGGCGGCCTGCGACGAGGAGGTTGACCGTGTAATTTTGACCTCCCCTGGATGAGCCTGGTTGGGAATCTTATTTTATTTGCATGTGGTCTCCCCTCTGTCATCACTTATTTCCTCCCTCTTCTTCACTGACAGCTACAAAATAGAGACTAAAATGATCCAGAGTACGCTTTAAAAAAATGACATCATGACACAACATGTGATCAGAGCTGCTAGTCACACCACTTGGCTCTACATGGGTCCACATGGGTATGACAGACCAGAGAAATGTGGCAATATTTAACATCTGTTACACCCTTTCATTTTAGTGCTGATACAGTCTGATTTTAATTAATTAAGGTTAATTTAACCTAAAAAAGTGAGGTTTTCATTCATCCTTTCCTTCCATACAAGCAGAAGCAGCCCTTATAAGAATAGAAATACAATAAACACACACACACACACGCACACACACACACACAGAGATGGTGCTTGCACAGACGCAGAATGATCAATCAATTCAAATGGGCGCAACATGGTGACTTTCAACTTTTATCAACAATGACACGCCGGATGCAAAGAACTGAGGGACGAAGGGAAAAAGAAAGAGAGAGGGAGACGGAGCGAGATAAGGAGCCAATGACAGCGAGAGGCAGAGTTACACAGCAGCCAAACAAAGAGTGGGAAAACAAAGCCGAGTCTTCAGCGCTGGCAGGACGCCGGCTGGTTTTAAAGTCTCATTGTGCAGAGAAGAAACAACGGGGACTAATGGGCACGCAGAGCGATGGCACCGGTGGCTGTGCTGCAGGGTTAGCTGTCAGCGAGGCAGCACTGAGCATCCAGACAAACAGAAAAGACACACGTGGAAAGCAACGTACAAAAAAAGAAGAAAAAAAAGACAGAAATACAACAGACACACAAATAGAATTTGCAGCAAAAGCAAACAACACCACAAGCAAATGTAAGCAGATGTGCATGAGGCTGAGACGCAGCATTGCAGTATAATCCTCTGCACAGCCCCAGTGCCTGTGTGTGTGTGTGTGTGTGTGTGTGTGTGTGTGTGTGTGTGTGTGTGTGTGTGTGAGAGAGCGAGAGAGAGAGAGAGCTGGATGAGCTCCCAGGTGTGTTGTAAGAGGGCAGCCTGCTGCCAGGGGAGATGTTAGACTCTAAGGGAGAGAAATGGTGGTATGAATGAAGGGATATCTGTCCATTACTCTTTTGGCTGTCTGCAGGGTGTTCACAAACACGTGCATGCACGCACGCGCACGCACACACACACAAAACACACACAGAGGCTCGAGGAGATGCTGGGCTGGGTATAGGAAACTCAGAGACTGGAGCATGTTCACCATAATCACATAAGGCTGGAACAGATACAGCTGCAGAGGATGGGGAGGGAGGGAGGGAGGGAGGGAGGGATTGTAACACCCAGGCGGCGGGGTCAGCAGCAGGGCAATGAGAGACTTCCTGCGCTCCATCACGCCCAAGGCCTGCCTCAGTCAGCTGGTGGCCGAGGAAAGATGCCTCATGTGTCAGNGAGAGAGAGAGAGAGAGAGAGAGAGAGAGAGAGGGGGAGAGAACTGAAGATAACAGGCAGAGAGAGAATAAAAAAGGATCAGCCTGTTGAGAGAAAGAGAATAAAAGTGATCATAAAGAGAGAATCAGCTGTAGGAGAAGAGGAGGGAGAGAAAAGAAGAACGAGAGATGAAGGTTTGGGATTGAGAGGATACTAAAAGTGGGGATGAGCCTGGCGACAGAGAGCAGGAGACGGAGAATAATCAAGAGAGAAGCGATTGGGAAGAAGCGGGAAAGTGGTAGCGAAGATGAAAGGGAAAAAAAGGGGAAAAAAAACTAAAAGCTCTATTGAAGATGGAGACTCCTAAGACTGGAGAATCAAGGGAGAAGAAAGAGAGAGAGAGAGGGAGGGAGGGAGAGTGGGACAGCTTGAGTAAGTGACAGAGAGAGAGATGGAGCAAGCAGAAAGAGAGAGGGAGTTAGAGGAGTGCAGCGCTCCTTGCTGCGGCTCTAGCCAGAGAGAAAAAGGGTTTTATCCAGATTAAAGAAGCCAGGCAGGCCTCTTAAGACCATCCGCCTAATGAAATATGTCAAAGCCCATAAAGAAACACTGAGGCCATTTAGAGAGGAGGGTGGTGGTGGTGGTGGGGGGGGGCTAGGCAAATACACTGCGTCAGCAAAAATGAAAAACACGCAAAAGCCCTGTCAATACACATTAGCTGAGACGTCAACGGGAGAGGAGATGGCAAGGAAAAAACAAGAAGAAGAAGAAGAAAGGAATGCTGCGGCTGAGAAATGGATCACTTTATTTATCATGGGCCATAAGGGTTATGGGTGCTGATCAGAAATGCCAAGAAAATCATAGCAGGAGAGGGGGAGAGAAAGGGGGGGGTATCAGAGAGAGGAGGAGGTGGGGCGGAGGTGAAGCCATTTGTGGGAATGCTGAGTGCGGGGGATTTGAGGTCAGCGACGGTGCTCGGGCCATTTGTATTCCACCGGCAACAGGCTTAGTTGGCTGCTGCAGGTGGATTTAAGTGATCGGTGTACTTGTGTGTGTGTGTGTGTGTGTGAGTGTGTGTGTGTGTGTGTAACAGAGAAACCTAGGCAGGGAGGAAGCCAGGCCTCCCGACATCAGAGCTAAATTGCTGGTCATGCTCCTTTTCTTATGCAAGCCTTGTTGCCATTTTAAAATACAGCGGGCGTGCGAAATGAGATGCGACGTGCTCAACGCCGCCGTTCAAATCCTGACTTCTGCGGCGCAGCTAGAGGTGGCCAACTGAGCGTGCACGCTCTCTGTCAGCAACACACTTGATTTATATTCATACCGGTGATGCCCAGAACAACCACAGGCCGTCTTCCAGCCTTGGCCACTGAGAAGCAATGCTGGAGCAGTTATATCTGACTCGGTGGAAATATCTGCTCCTATCACAGCACAGACTGTTCCTTCATACAACACTGCTGCGAACAGGCCACAATAACTTTGAAGGCAATCTTTATCCTCAGTGTTAAAGATAGTGGTTGGTTACATTTTTGTCAAACGCTTCTTCACTATAGTCAATCATTTCTCAAATTTAAAAACATAATGCAAATCAGGTGAGAACATGGCTGCTGTAAACACGCCACTCCCTTTAGATCTGATCACATACGATAAAGAGGCAGTCAGCTAAAATGATGATATTTTCTCACTATGTTTGGTGCTGAGCTTTCGTTCCTGCAGTGTTTCAGAACCACTGTGGATTCCCCTGTGATGTCTTTTTCTATCAGTTTTTCTGTTTCTGACGTCTGAATTTAGCTCTTTTCAGACACGGAACACAAAAAACGTCGCTGGGTTCATCCACTGCAGCTGTAAAGGAGACGTTCTCTCATTCAGACATCCGTTATATAAATATTCCATACAGCTTTAGTCAGACATGACAGGACTTTTACGGAACATGTGGCACCTGGTGCAGCGATGATGATTTGGTGCCGCGTTAGAAGTTTTGCTGAAATGTTTTCCAGGTCTCATAGAGTCATCGCGACTCTAATGTAAATGCGACTCTGGTGCTTATTCAGACATGAGACTGACATGTCAAAATGCTGTCACGTTTGTGTAACGAGGTACTTGTTTAAAAGGGAGTCACAAAATGTAAAGTGCATCAATTCTTGAGCGTGAACCGGATTTGCAGCACTTTGAACCACTCCTGTGTAATGTCACTCAGTAAGAGAAAATAGTAAAAGTGACTTTATATTTTACCTTTAACCAGACTTTTCTAAAAAAAAAAAAAAAAAAAAAACTAGGCGGAACTGAGTCTGGAGAAATAACTGAAGCGGATGCCATTGTAATGCAATACGGCTGCTGTCAGCTGGGTGAGGATTGAAAACTGTGAGCCTGCTGACCTGGACGGCTATAAAGCAGCAAGAGCTCAGACACTAAGTGCTTCACAACTCAACTTTGTCAGCCGGGGAGTGGAGGGAGTGCGAGGAGAAAGAAAATGAAGTAAAATCAAATGTTTAAGAAGAAAAAAAAAAAAAAGAAACAGAAAAATGAAAATCTTCACACAGCAGGTTAATTTGTTTTTGTGTGTGGACGGACTGTTACACTGTACAGGTCAGGAGGGGAGATCGGTGGGTCGAAAACAAAAAGGAGAGTGTTTGCTCTGCGTGTATGCATGTGTGTTTTGATTATATCACACACTCACCGTTCCTCTGCCCAACTAGTGATCCCACGTTGCTCTCATCAGCCACTGGAACACAAAGGACAAAAACACACAGTAAAGACCACATGTTATTTTCTTTACATACTAAAACACGGAGCAGAACATACATCATTCGGTGTTTTGTGTGGCTTCGTAAATGGTTACAACTGGTGCTGGCACATTCTGTAAATGACTCCCTGCAGAAGGATCGCACAGAGAAGGATGAGGACAAAATGACACAGGCTGAAAGAGGAAATGAAAAAGAAGCAGAAATATAAGAAAACCAGAGGAAAGATATTATGACCATGGGAGAGGACGAGAAGAGATAGAGGTGAGACAATGAGAGAAATAATGAAGGGAGGAAGAAGAAAACAAGGAGAAACCCCCACCAACACCTAATCTAACTAAACAGGATTGCGGTCGGCCAGCGGTAGCCGCCACAGGCGGTGCACCATGGGATACAATAATAGGTTTTCATTACGCTGCTATTTCTCTTAAATAATCCTTTTCATTTTTTATGAGGTCAATTTTCCCAGCGGACAGATGGGAGAGGGAGAGAGAAAATGCGAAGAAGGGAAGAATATCAGAGGGACAGAGAAAGAGGGTAGAACGAAAAATGATAAACAGTGGGGAGAGAGAGCAAGAAGTGAGAGATGAAGGGTGATAGGTCGTGTTGTGCAAAACAGAGGTTGAAATCAAAAGAGCTTGCTTCATAAAAAATCCTGCAGAGACACATCTGTAATAAGACAAAGAAACAGAAATACCTTTCTTGTGCACACGTGCCAGATAAAATAAAAATTAAATACTTTCAAAGTTTGGGAAAGAACTATTCCAGGCCACACGACCCTGCCAGATAATAAAAGCTTCCTTTTCTGTGGAGGAAAGATAAAAGTCTGCATGGCCAGCAGCCAAGTTTGTCTCCTGCTGCCACAGTGGAAGGCTAAAATGTAAAATCCCTCTTTTAACCTCCAGTCAGTTGCCTTATAGTGTTTTATATATCTATTATATCACTGGATAACTTAACTACAAACCTGCACAAGCACGGCAGTATATCATGTATTCTGAAGTGAAGTAGGGAAAGACATGGATGGAGGGAGTGAATTAAAAGAAGCGACAAAGGAAAAGAGAAAAAGTTACTGGAAGAGAGAAAGTATAGGAGACAGAAAGGATGGAAACATTAAAGACAAAAAGAGAGAGAGAAAGAGAGAGCAGGGGACAGACAGAAGGTGCAAGAAAGGTGAGAAGAGGAAAAGCAGTAGAGAAGATGAGGACTGTAAGAGAGATGGTGTGAAGAAGAGAGATTCAGGGTGAAAAGTGCATGAGGAACAGAGTGAGGAAAGAGAGATAATGAGAGAGAGAGAAAGAAAGAAAGAAAGAAAGAAAGAAAGAGGGAGAGGGAGAGAGAGAGAGAGAGAGAGAGAGTCCAGCTGTGTGTGCTGAACCTGTTGGATCTGCTTTTCACGGGTTACGCTTCACATCCAGATTTGACCTTGTGGCCTCTTAAAAGGTTGACAGTCTTTGTGCCTCAGAGGCTGTTGAACTGTCAGGCCATGGATCCATACTGTTCATCTTTTCCAGCCAATACTGCTGAGTGGATCATTTCACAGTGTGACATGATGCTGCGTCTCTATGGCCGCTCTTTCAAACTGAACCAATTTGACCAAGGAAAGACCAAACTTTGAAATCAAGCCCCGTTTTTGATGCTATTTATGGTGGGCATTTTTCCTGAACTAGCCATTCAATGTCTTTAGATGCAGTAATTATCTCTTTATGTAGTCGTTTTTATTGGCGGTGATGGAGTCCGCCATTCCTGCGCTAGATTCAGTTCAGCTTCCCAGGCACAAGGAATTCACTGAAAATGATGCGAGCATGTAATCCAGCACAATTAACCTCATTGATATGAGCCTGACTGTTCAGTGTTCGCTCTCTTCACGCCCCGTCAGAGCTGCATTCCAATGGTGAAAAACAGAGTGGCTTTTATTGTGAAATAAAGTGACAAAAGTCTGAGATCACTTTCCAATTATCAATTATAATTATTGACCGACTTCTTCAAGCAATGAGGGTTTGTTTGGCTGCACTCTGAACAGACACGCTAGTTCTTCTTGCATTTGTATTGCATTTCTGTGACTCAACAAGTGTCTGCTGTCGTATTAAACTGCATTTGCTGTTACCGCGGTAACCACCGGTGTCACCAAATCGACCAAAACGCTACACTGAGTGAGGGAGGTGTTGTGCATCAATTACAGGTCAACATAAAAAAACAGGTTTGGGGATGATGAATGATACGAAGTTCCAGCGGAGGTCACGCAGCGCTTTATATTTAATGACTTTTTTTGATGTTCAGCCTGAGTCATTGAACACCAAATAACTTAGACTGCAAAGTGAAATGTGCAGGCTACACGTCTCCTAAAAGACTTGATGTTTCAATGCACTCTGAGCAACTTAAAGCCAATCCATACAGACCATTTTCCAAAGCAGGCCACAGCTTTTTAGACTGATAAAAGCATAAGTTTCCATTATTGCTGACTTAGTGAGAAAAAATTGCTGAATCACTGTCAAACTTGGAAAAAAAAATATATATATATATATACACCATATACATTTCATGTTTTACCTTTTATAGTTGCAAAAGAATGCAAATGAGAGTAAAATCCCTTTCTTTCTGGTGCTTTCAGGTACTTTCTGGTACAGTGGAAAAAAAACGGATTCATCATTCTTTGGAAGAAAGCCACACCACTTTGGTGAGACTCAGAAAATTCAGAGTTCGGTGCAGCTATAATGTCAGTGACTCCACGATTCATCTCAGCATGGGCGGGCGGTGTGTGTGAGGATTTCTGTGTGTGAGTGAAAGCTCTCTGAGTCAACAGACTATTTGCTAAGGCATGCAAGGTCAAGAAAAGCAGCTCACCTCTTTCTGTCAAGTGTTTAATAAAAGCTGAACCTGCTCTGCTATACTGGAAAAGCTCTGATACAGTGACCATAAAGACTGACATGTGGGAAAACTCTCCAGGGTAAAAAGAAATGGGGAAAAAAAAAGCTCTTTAAATACGAACGGGGTCAGCGTCGGAGGTCGTGTATGTGTTCAGAGCTCCTGCCATCTTTACACATGTACACACACTTACTCACATACACACAGTGCTCTGTTGGCCACCTTGTTTCAGCCCTGAGCACTTTGGAGATGGATGGGATGAATATAGAACCAGAGAGATAGCACAAAAAAAAAAAAAAAAAAAAAAAAAAAAAAGAGAAATGGAAATGGAGGATGGCCAGAGATGGAGACACAGGGTGGAGAGGGGAGACAGATAGCGGTGGGTATTGGAGTGGGTCCTCAGTGGGATAGAGCACTAAGAGTGTGTGTTTGTGCGTGCACGGCTGCGTGTGCAGACCACCCTTGCCCATAATGAAAGCCAATCAGCTTGGGTGGCAGAGGCGTGTGCTGCAGGAAGAAAGCCAATCCACTGAACCTAATGAACCGGGATTGGAAATCAGAAGAGAGGCAGAGAAGAAAGAGAGAGAGATAAGGGAGAGCAAGAGCAATGAACTCATCGGCTTTCACTCGAGAAAGAAAGTGCGAGAGAGAGAGGAAAAGAGAGAGATAAAAAAAAAGATGGAGGGAAAGCTGAAGAAGAGAAATAAACAGTTTGAAGAGGAGAAGAGAAAGGGGAAAAAAAGAGCTCTGATCTTGTCTGGAGAATAGGAATAACAAGAAAATTGAAGACAAGTATCAAAAAAGAGAAAAGTAAGATAAAGAAAGATGAAAAGATCGTGGAGAAAAGAGGAGAGGAGGGGTCAGCTCGGGTTAATACGAGGAAATAAGCCCCTTCGTTCTCGCCTTCCACGTACACAGCAAGCCATGAGATTGGAAACCTAACGCCTTTCATTCGCACACACATAGAAAGGACACACACAGCTGTGTACACGCGCGCACACACACACACACGTACACAAACACACCGCGTGTTCATCCAGTCTGCTGGAAAGCCCCTGGGTTTAGGAGTTCAGGAGGTCAAATCCCCTCAGGCCGGGGATAATAGGAGGGAGCTACATATCACAACAAAGAAATGTACTGATAAGAGGCATGTGATCGCTGTTGTGGCTGTGTGTGTGTGTGAGTGTGAGTGTGTGTGTAGTCTAGCTCCATGATTAGACTCATATGTTTGGCTGGTTTGTGATGGCTGAGACAACAATGTTTTGTACGTTTTTGCCCCAGAAAATGCATCCAATCAATCACAGACTGGTGAGAAGAGAAAACAACAGCTTCTTTCATTGATCAAGGGTTTTTTTAGTGTGCGTGTGTGTGTGTGTGTGTGTGTGTGTGTGTGTGTGTGTGTGTGTGTGCGTGCGTGTGTGTAAGCTCACCCATGTCCATGCTCTTTGACGCCCTGTTGCGAGGTACGTTGTCCTCATCGTCGGCCAGTTGGCTGTAGAAAGCTGCAGCCATGTGGGGCGACATCTGAAACTCGCTGCAAAACAACAGTCAACAACGACTTACAATCAGTCAATCGATTCGTCGGTGTTTACACTTGAATCTGTTGCAGCCAACAGTAGAAAACAAAAGTCCTTTAGTGACTTGTCGGTTACATCACCATAACAAGTAAGAGTAAATTTAATTTAAGTTCACAAACACATACAGACTACAGATCATTCAATTTCCTCTTTTCCAGATGGCGTGATTCAGTAGAACAATAGCATGCACTGTCTCCAGTAAACTTACACTATATTGCTGCCAGATTCTGACTCTGACCACATGAGATGCTGCACACACGCACACACTCAGACATACTCATTCAGAAGACTGTTGACAGACTCCTGCAAAACCACACACACTTTCAACCAGCTCATTCAGCGGAGGCCAGAGCGGTCAGGGTTTTAGTGACCGGACGAACTGATGATGTGTTTCACAATTTACATGATGCTGCAACACCGATGATTCATCAGAGCCGAGAAACTTTTATCTGTGTCTACGTTCACACTGAAAATTTAGCATGCTAAATATTCTGGTGAGCTTTTGAGTGTGTATGATACTGTCCCACAGTGCATTGCACAAAGAAAAAGGTAGGAACTAGAGAAAAAACCCGAAAAAACCAAAAACGAATTGCTGCTGGTGGTGAGACAGTTTGTTAGTCTGTTTGTGAAAGTTGCAGTTTGATTCCCTGTTATTATAAAAAAAGTACATCATTTTTTTCTCTACCAACAAGGAAAACTTTTAAGTATATACTGTGCGCACTTAGAACTGAGACATAGCATTTGTTATAGTTTGTTATTTACACTGCAAAAGGACTTTCCAAACTAACAGAACACACACTCCCATCACACTTCACAAAACATAAGATTTACCCCTAAACAAAGAAAGGCGAGAGCAGCTGATGCAAACATCATAAAATCAATCCATTCATTTTAGAAAAGTTTAAAAAGGATATTGAAGGAGCATGTCTGATTATAGTATCCACATTTTCTTAACACATAAACCTAATGAACCTCATTTAAATATACACTGTCTACTGTAAAAGCTGCTGCTGAGTGCAGGCTGTGCAGCAGCATACTAACAGAAGTATCATAGCTTTTTATAAGCCTTCAAACTCCAACAGCATTTACTCTGGTTTGCTATCACCATCATTACTTATGCATAATGCAAATAGGGTATTGCAATTAGACCGTATAGTCTAAATAATGCATACGGGTTGTAATATTTAGTGTAATGAGTCTTCTTTATCTCGTAACACAGCGACCCAAATTAAGAGTGCTATTAGAATATAATAACTTTGGCCCTGTGTGTAGTTTAATGGAGTGCTTATGGCGCAGTGTACCATACATTATGTGTGTATGTTATGAGGGGAAGGGGGGGGGGTACCTGTTATGTGGGGGGATTGGTGGCAAGTTTCTATTCATTTCCTCCACAGCGCCGGGGGAGGGTGGCGGGGGGAAGCCTTCTTCCAACTCCTCATCCTCGTTGCCGTAGTGACCGTAGCTGCCATTAGTGATCGCAGCAGGATACAGAGCTGAGGAGAAACAAAACATTCAGACAAACCAAAAAAAAACAACATAAAAAACACTTTTGTTTGTCGGGGGGGGGGGAATCAAAGAAAAGAGAAAAGGTGTTAACTTCTTTGTCAATTTCAACACATTCTTAGTCTCATACATTTTTTCTCTTAATATTGTTTATTATTTATATTGATCAGCTGTGACAAGAAACTGCACAGAAATATAAATCTCATGTGAGGATCAATACTGTCAATAAAGAGCTTAGCAAGGTCAGACATTTAGAAAGCATAAGCTCAACATCAGAGACACACTCATACACAGAACACACACATACATGACGCACATGCACAAACCTAAAACATAAAACACACACAAAAAAATAATCTCTTCCATACAAAAGCTTTATTCTAACTTCCTCCAACATATCCGTAAACTGTAAAACCAGAGAGCACCTCACTTCCTCACTCTAAAGCCTTTGTGTTGAAATCACCCCCCCCAATGCAAAATGACTGTAACTGTACTGGCGCTCCAGTCTGATGGAGAGCTGACAGAGCGTCAGTGAGAGAGGCATCTCCAGCTCCCTGCATCCCAGGGGGTGAGAGGAGGAGGACGAGGGAGAGAGATAAAGAATGAATTTAAAACAGTTTGTTGTTTCTTTTTTTTTTTTTTTTTCCTTTAACACAACAGCACGGCACGAGCGCTGCACAATACCCTGTATGCAAATCTGGCCCACTTAGAAGCCGTTTCATCAGCGTAATGATTCCAAGGTCAGATCTTTTGCACATGAAAAGCAAGCGTTGCGTTCGGAAAAACATAGTTAATGACTTTCCTTTCTCCCGCTATAAATATGCAGTGAAAGGCGATATAAAGACAGAGATTAGAAAAGATGTGACAATTTGGTAATGCAGCGCTATAAGATGCTTAGAGTGGCTGCTAGAGTGACCTAAAAAAAAAAAAAAATAACAGAACAATGTCAGAAGCCTTGGCTGGGTATCATGCTGTGTAGGGATCGCAAACACACACACACACACACACACAAGTATATAAGCACACACACACATACGCTGACAAACATACTGTGTGTACTCACTCAGTCGCAGATAACACGAGTACACAAACACTCCAAGCCTAATGTTGACTATCTGACAGTTCAAATGGACAAATACTGTGCAGACTGTCGAGTGTCTCTGTGTGTGTGTGTGTGTGTGTGTGTGTGTGTGTGTGTGTGTGTGTGTGTGTGTGTGTGTGTGTGTGTGTGTGTGTGTGTGTGTTGGAGGGGCGTGCTCACCATTTCTAGAGTTGCCGTGCGTGTAGTTGTTGGCCGTCATTGGAATGTGACTGGCGGCATTTGCGGAGGACTCTGTGTTCGGGGGTCTGGAGGCTCCTGAGGGTTTCTGGTATGCATCGTGTCCCCTCGGCTCCTGTCAACAGAGAGAGATCAAGAGGGGCCATGAAAGTGGTTATTAAGGGTTCAAAAGCAAGAAAATGTTCCAAACGCAGTCAGATTTGTGACTTATGAAAAATTGATGTTGTTGCCTCATACATCAGAAGATTAAAGTTATTTCTTTAATTACCCAGTAGAGCTGGACTAACGTCTTTTTTATTTAATTTGTTTACCACTTCCCAACCTGGTTCCCCACCAACCAAGTAACCACACCAATGTAGTTAATCCTGGTTGCTTTCATGATCACAGTGACTCACTACAATGTAAAGCTGTAAACACGGAGACGTGTGGGCTGAGAGATGACTCTTTTATTGGACAGCTTTGGTCAAAGTCATCCCGTGAGGCAGGAAAACATCTGCAGCTGTGGTTAGGAGGTGAAGGAAGAGCCATACTACTACTATACTAATGACAGGAAGTGCAGTGGCCCTGCTCAAGAAATGATGCCACAATTCGCTATTTACAAAACCTTGCACTGAAAAACAGATAAGTGCTTCCAACTTGGCGCAGGGATTTTTTGCGGAAACTGGCGTTTGAGTGACTGATCAGACAGTGTGAAGGACACCGCATGAAGTCGACCTCTAGGGACATCATCCAAGAACAAGACCATTATTCACAAAAACCAGTCCAGCATGTTTGGCGTGGACCGAGCCAGGACCACCACAGCAACTGCACAGTGCCAAGAGTGAAAGATGGGGGTGGGAGTGCGCTGATATGAGGCTGCATGAGTGCAAAAGATGACATTTATAGATGGCACTATGAATGCAGGTTTGTTTACTCAAATACTGAGTGAAAAGACGATTCCAAGTCCCGAGAAGCTTGGCAGCAGAGGAATTTTCCAGCGGATGATCCGAGACACACTGGAAAAGAAAAAAAGTCACACAAAGAGTTTTTAAAGGAGAAAAAAGTGAAAAGTAGGACCTGGCCAAGTGTGTTCCCTGACTTGAATCCAATAGAAGCTTTGGAGGATTTTAAAGCGGGCGGTAGAACAACAAAACCCCTCCGGCGAAGAGCAGAGAAAAAGAATCATCTGTGTAAAACAACAGAACATCGCTCTACAGGTTTGTCTCTGACTGGTATCATCCTCACCGAGGAGGATCGTCAAAATGGAACGGAATCTCGCATCGCTTTTTGTTTAATTAGTAAAACATTTATGTCATTGCATAAAATTTTAGGGCAGTTTCTCTGTATACTGTACATGCCTTATGTGATCGGTGTCTTGATAGTTCACTATCAGCTGCTTATCACAAACAAACTGGACCAGAGTTTCAGCAGCTTTCACACCAGCCAACATGAACCAAACCAAGAGATAACACCCTCTGAGAAAAGCTTTATGAATGGTTCCCTTCTGATCAAATGACGCTGTCCCAATACTGTTTAATCTACAGTACAATAGACATTAGCAAAGATTTTCACCGTTCACTGTGTCCTGGATCTATTCTGCAGTAATATCACAGGTCGATTAACTTCTGATGAAAGCAAAAAGTCAAACCCGACATTTCTTTGGGGCAATTGCAGTTTCGTCCAACATACATCTACTGTGCGAAAAAGGGAGGATTTTACATGAATTTTGTAGTAGTAAATCCTGCACATCCTGCAACCAATCAATTATGATTCACCTCAGATAAGCGATACGGGAGCAGAGCTTTGAGGAAATATGAACAGATTTAGAACAAACCTCTGAGGATTTTGACTCGACGAGCAGTGTGGGTGATGAACAAAATATCACAAATTAGTCGGGTTGATCATAATTGAGAAGGAAATGTGTCATCTGTTCTGACTTTTTAAGCTCAAATCTAAATCTTTAATCAGGAAGGAGGAAAATATATATTGTGGAATATAAATTACAAGAATGGTCCAGTGGTTTAAAATCTTATAACCAAACCACAGAGTCGGAAATAAAGGAAAAATAATATATATATATATATATATATTCTTATGATTCACCTTTTGGTAATCCTTCAGAAAAATTCAACACTGTGTAACTGGAGAAAAAAGCTCTCTTCATGTGCACAATTGAAAACACAGTAATTAAGATAATCCTGGGCGCACTGACAGACATGTTATCGAACAGCCATCCAGCACTACAAAGGACCCCCACCCCACAGATGGAGATAGGGACTGGCAGTGCTGGTGGGAATCTGTGCTAGTGGAGGATGAAAGAAGCCTTTTCTGGTCAAAGAGACAGGAGCTACAGCTGTCACACACACACACACACACACACACACACACACACAACAAGCAAACACAGACACACACCTACAACACACGCTTATTTAAGTGTGACAAAGACAAATCCTGAGGCACAGTGTACAATAATGAAAGGTGTACCCATAGCTTCCTCAGTTCAAAGCATTGGGTGGGGTGTGTTCACGATGTCATGGAGTCCCTGGGGAATCATTAGTAGCTACCATACATCTTAATATGTCACATCACAGCTGTCAATCACTTTGAGCACATATATATGTGTGTTGTGTGTATTTGCAGTTATGACAGCTCTTCTGCATATGCCAGTGACACGTAGATCACATCATAGCCTCCATCAATCCATTCATCCATCCATCCATCCATCCCTCCGTCCATCTATCCATGCATCCATCCATCCCTCGGCCTCCGCAAACTGACAGTTTCGCCTGAGGCTTTTGAAGCAGCCTGGCAGACAGGCAGTCAGATATCTTAATCCCACAACAATAAGTAAACAGGAGGGGGGGGGGGGATCCATCTATCCAGCCAGCGCCAACCTACAGCTGCATACAATAGGCTTCAGAGAGGCTTAGCCTTGCCTCACCCTAATGTGTCAACCACCCCACCCACATATCACTCGGCTCGGGATGGAGAGCAAATGGAAGAAAACAGAAAACAAACACAGGAAAAAAAACAAAAAACCCAGCATTGTTTTTAACAGCGTTTCTCATTATTTAATTTTAACATCTAATAATATTCATATCTTGATCTTTTTAGGTTTTGCTGCGCATTAGTCTCTCTTACTTTTCACCTTTCTACTCAGTCTAATCAATGGTCAGTTCCTTGTTAAGTGCTTTAAACTGAACCAACCTTAATGAACGCTGCTGTACAAATAAAGTTCGATGTAATAATTCATATTCAAACTGTCTCTGCTTAATGCTCCGATTATGTTTCATTAGGGACGTTATTGTGGCAGTCAAAAGAGGATAAAAGGAGGGATAAAGAGAGATAGAGACAAGCTGTTATCTTCTCATTTTTGCAGCAAAATCTATGAAAAGGTTTAATCGTTTGCCAAAAATAACATGCGACTGTCCATCACACGTGTGGAGGGAGCTAAACACTTCTAATCATTCTTTTAAGAACCGGTTGATCTGTGGCAGGTCGTTCATTGTCTCACGTGCTAGAAATGATTTTAAGCCGAGTAAGGTTCAAATGCACCAAATACCAATCACGCAAGATATGACAAGCGTGAGAGCAACAATTATGCAATTTTTCATTCACCTTTTGTAATCAAATACACTGAAACAGCCATGTTAGCCGCTATGTGAGGCTGTACTCTGAGCTATATGCTAAATGTCAGAATGCTAACATGTTCATAATGACAATACTGATGTTCAGTGCCCACAGTATGCTCACCACCATCTTACTTTATGTCAATAATGTCAATAAATTGTCAGAATCCTATGAGAATACAACAACCAGTGACATGTGACCAAACGTCTAGACTAACTGGTCACACTGTGATTAATTAGTACAAACCTCAGACCGTAATTAATTGATGTATTTAAAAGAAGAAAATATGGATGAAATGAGGTCATTTCATCGTGATTAGGATTTCAGGTTATACAATCCAGCCCTAATGGAAAGGCAGCTCCAGACAGAGACAAGGGAAAAGCGCAACGCCGACGGGCTCAGGGAGCCTCACTCTAGGGAGCGCTTGTTTTATCACACTGCCCCACGGTGTCACCAGACTGGCTGTTTAGTGATGAGAGGAGGGCTATGCAGATATAAACTGAACTTTGCACTGGGTTTGATAGCATTTACCCGCAGGCTTGGATGCCTGAAACGTACACAACAGTGACGGGAGTGAACAATGGGCAGGTCAATGGCAGCCGACCCTCTCACCCTCCTATTTTTACTCCCTCTCTCAAGCACACACACACGTCATTACTAAGCTTGAACTGCTGTGAAACATCTTTTTAAGCCTTTGAAATAATCAGTCATGGTTCAACGTGGAGTTGAATACACTGACTTAACTAAGAAACAGCTATTTTTCGCCATCTGTCATGCTTGATATCTCCATCAGTCCGTCCATCCAGGAATTTATGCTGCTTTGTGCGAGGTGAACGCAAATTCTTGTGCGACTTTGTGAGTGATTCAAATGTCGCTCGCACATTTACCACCAGGGATTAAAGAAGCAGCCGCTGCGCAGCAAGGATTTTTTTTTTTTTTTTTGGGACACAAGACGTTCACGGGAGCTGTTTTTTGTTTTTAACAGCACTTCAACACAAAAGAGGAGGAGATAAAAATAAGTAAAGGTTAACACGTTACATTCAGTCTGATTTTTAACACATTTATCACATCTGAAAGGCAGTGTTTCACAGCTACATGGAGCACTCATGAATACTGATTCTACTCCCCGAGTCAGTTTTCATTAGCTATTCCTGAAATATGTTCATTACTCCCTAAATCGGCGTACACGTGTGACTCTTGGTGTAACTTTTAAATTACAGTTTTATGTGCAAAGCATGAATCATGACGGGATGTCGTGCAACTTGATGTTTTTCTAGTGGGAGTTTTATTTTCAGTTGTTTAACTTTTATAAAAACATGTCCTGGTTTGTGCTCGGGGTGAGTAACAAGGAATAAGGAAAAGGAAGAAAAGAAAAGAGACGCTGAGGCCAAAACAGAGGGAACAGGGACTCAAATGTCATTTAATAAACAGGCAGTGAAGCAAAGGAAAAGGCAGCTGCTGAAAACCCAACAGAGAAACAGACATAGACAGGCATGCAGGAGACTCCAGATTGGCTTTATTTAACAGAGGAGAACCAGGCAGGTGAGACAGGAAAGCAAGAGTACATTCCCTCCAAAAAATACGGAAATTAAAAAGGAGAAATTAATACAAAGCTTTACACAAATAGACAAAAACAGGAAAGAGCAGATTCAGCCTTTACAGTGTGTAGACAACCCAGTGGTTTGAAGAGAAACTGTGAAAAAATAATCAGAGTCGCAGCTAATTTTAGTGAGTTAAAACCAAAGTGACAGAAAAGAGATTGTACACAGTGAAGAATTTAGTATTGCGAAGTTTATGGGTAATATTTTAGAAAGACAGCTAAAAGTTAATGATGTGACAGTTAGTGGTGTTGCCAAAGGGAAAGCTTTCAGCCAGATTAATATGCTTCCTCGCCGTCAATCACTAAAAACTGACTGAAAAAAAAAATTGAAAAAGTGACATTTTCGTCATAATTTCTTTCAAACTGAAATATAACAGGAACAAGACCTGATGTTAAGGAGCTTCAGAATGATAAAGCTGATCTTTCTGCGCTAATTTTATTTCAGGATTTTACTTTAGTCTTTGTGGTTCACCCTAATGTTTTAGTTTTATAATTACGAATGTGCACATGCATGCACAACCCTGTGTCAGAGCCCGCCGGACAGCCGGAGGTGGTGTTGTCTAGTGAAAGCCCGGTTGTGTGCGTAGTTATGCGAGTGTGTGTCTACGTATGCATCTGCAGCTCTGTGTGTGTTTCTGTTCGTCTGACTGCGGGTGGGTATCCTGCTGTGTGTGGGCGGGTCTCCGTACATCTGCCCCGCCATGGCCCTAATGTTTTCAGTGTAGCTGTTACCCTGGGAGCCGTCTTGGCTGTGGATGGTGTCCAGTGTGCGGCTGCGTGCGTGCCTGGACTTGCAGCCGTGTGTGTTGCCCTGAGCGTCGACGAACGCGCGACCGCGCGTGTTATCGACCACGGTGTGACCCTGTGTGTCCGCAGGCATTCGGCTGTGTGTGTGTCCCCGTGGGTATCCGTATTCATATCTATCCCTGTTTAAGTTGCTCAGTGTCTGGCTGTGAGAGACAAACCCAAACTCGTACCTCGTACTCGGTCTGTACACATCATTTTGCACACACCCCCCTTCCTCATCACTGTGTTCTCTGTCCCTTTGTGTGAAGCCAAATGTGTAACCACTACGCCTCTCCCTTTGGTTAAACCCGTAGGTGTATCTGGTGTGTGTCTCCCCCGGCCGCTGTGTGTGACGCTGCCTGTGGCTGTGAGGCAGCGGCTCGGACGCTCGCCTCCTCAGTGCGGGGAGGAGGGAGGAGGAGCGGCGAGGCGGAGGCGGCTGCAGCTGGTGGCAGGCGTCACGCACTCGTACCTGATTGCTGGAGCTTGCTTGCGGGTTGGACTGATGGGAGTTGGAGACATTTGTAGCTGTGCTTGCTGCAGGGTTGGCACTGGCCATCTGTGGAGAAAAGTATAATTTGGAGAAAAAAAAAATTAAAATAAATAAACTCCCTTGGATATGAACTAGTAGATAGAGCAGTGGAAGCTTCTTCAGTTGTTTTCTGAGCCGTGAAACTGTTTTCATCCTTTGCTACAGTCATTGTTGCGTCAATTAACAGCCACGTGCCTTATCAAAGAGCTGCTGAATAAGAAACTGAGCCGTTACCTGCTTCTTCTTGATAAAGTGTCAACTTAATCTTAAAACTATTAAATCACCAGCTTAACACCCAAACAAATCATACAGCATGACAGTCACTGTCACAAAGGGAGCCTTTACTCTGATGTTTTCATTATTTTTATCCAACTGTGTTTATATTGTGAGGACAAGGAGCTGCATTAGCAAACTCCACTACAATAACTGGACTGAAGGCCCTCTTAATACTGGGAACAGCATTAACTGTTTAACTGGGTTTGAAAAGAAATGATTTGCTTCGACCTGATTCCATATTGCTGATCCACATTTAGTTCAGGTGCTCACAGTATATAGTTTTTTATCATAACGGGAGAGAAGTGATCCTAATGCGAATGATACATGCCGTTGATCTGGCTGTCAGCTACTTATTAATAATCTTTGCACATTTCAGGCTGCACGTGCGATTTCATAATGCATAACAACTCCTAAATGTTTCATGTAACCAAATTCATCTAACCAAATGTAAAATTTTTAACATGTTGCCCCACATCCACCAAAGCTTTCAAAAGCAAAGCACTGCAGTAAATAACGGGGATGCAGCCTGTGTTTAAAAGGAAGTCTAACAACATTTAAAGGTTTTTGCATCTGTCGACTTGAGATTTACTTTTTTTTTTTCTTATAAAAAAATAAAAGAGAGCAACTGATACAATTTCTCAAATCTCCAAGGACTTTCTTAATATAAGTGGAGTGAGCCTCCTGTTTTTGACATGTATATAGGACGGGTATTAGAAGGCAAACAAGATTTTAATATTAAGGAACACTTAGAATTTACATGTACATACATAGAAGATCATTCTGCCAATTCATTTCTGAACTGTAAATAGTTTCAGTCAGGGTTCCTGCCATCATCATCTTCCCCGTCTTTTCCAAGACTTCCAAGAATTAAGCACTTCCATGACCTAAAAATGTCACTCCCTTCTGTTTATGTTGTTTTTCAAACAGCAAGTGTTTGATTTCCCAACCAGATGGGTTGAAATCAAATGTGAAACATGCACAAGCTTTCCCTGACTGGAATACACCGCTCAATATTCCAGAAACGTTTACAGCGGGTTAAAAACAACATACCTGCTGTGTCTGTCTGGGCGCTCGGAGCACCACGAGCTGGATGGTGCCCCTGGCGTTCCCCTCTGACGACATGGAGCGCCTCAGCGTCTCCATGGCAGCGTGGTTGGAGCGTCCGAGCAGAGACTCTCCGTTTACTGCGATCATCTGGTCGTTTATGCTCAACCGACCGTCCTGTTGGGGAAAGATGAACACGAGGGGGATTATTAGTGACTGAATAAGGGAACAAACCACCCGATACAGTGTTTATGACTTTATCAAACTGATGAAGATTTTCAAAGTAAAGGTGATGTTTTATCTATCCAAACTAGTATCAGAGAAAATGCAGCACGGACAGCTGTTAGAGGCACTTTGAAGACATTATTGCTTGGTCCTGTCACTTACAAAAGCCTTACAAGTAATAACTAAAATGCTGGTGTGGAAAAAAAGAGGAGTACAGAGTGCGAAATAAGTCACTGACTGGTCACCACTTAAAGAAAGTTTTAGGACAAGAGAATAGAGAAGAGAAATTGTGAGAGGTGTGAAATGTGAGAGAGAGAAAGAGAGAATGATAAAGAGAGAGAGAGAGAAAGTAGAGTAGAAAATGGAAGAATGGGGAAGGCAAGAAAATTGTAGAGTTAGCAATCTACTGAGAGCGAGAGAGCCATGATAAATACATAGAGCAGCTAATGGAATAGCCTCCGTGGGCACTAAATCACTTCTAAGTGTTTTAAATAGCAGCCTCTTGTAGAGAGGCAACATACAATAGTGCCCTGGAGGGAGAGAGAGTGGACGAGCGGGCAATAGAGAGAGAGGGGGAAGGGGGGGGGGCAAATGAGGAAACCAATGCAAAGGGCAAAATGAAAAAAAAAAAAACGAAATGAAGGCACTGCGACACACACACACTGAAGACTCTCTCGGTGTGTGTGTGTGTGTGTGTGTGTGTGTGTGGATGATTCGTCCATTAGGGTCAGCGCTGCCCTTTGACCCCATCTCATTAACAAGGCACCGCCTGGCCTGACCTCAAATGCAGACTGGGATGGCACCACACACACACATGCACAGACGCACTCACACACACACTCCCAGATTTTTGTGCCTGCCTCAAATCCAAGGATGTCATCAAAAATTGATGTTCATGCCAAAATCAGTGGGTGTCTGTGATATTGCCTATTAATTTCTTCATTCTCCATGTAAGCAGCAGCAGCAGCACGCTACATGTAATTTTAATTTGTTTTCTTTAGCAGACTCTTTGAAATGATCATATGACAGGATCGGGATAAAGTCAAAGAACATTTTTTTTAATATAATTGAGGCCCCGGGCCCTGACAGCAGCCAAAACTCTTTAATGGAAATAGGTTAGATCTCTCTGTGACTCTTCCTCATCTCCTCCCTTTTTTCGCCTGCTGTGTGACCGTGTGTGTGATGTGCCAGTGTGTCTGTGTCAGTCAGACTCAGGGGACGGCTGGGTTCCCTCCTCTGTACAGGCCTGGCGCTGCAAAGTCTCATCAGGCTCCTCAGCTGCTTTTCATTAGCATGCATCAACATCGAGGAGGAGACACACACACGCGCACGCGCACACACACACGCAGACACGCACAGACATGCATACCCTCATGTATTGAGTTCCTGCTGAGTGTCTCCACTTTTCAATTTTCTCTTTCTCCTCTTATTCCGCCTCTTTTCCATCTCTCTATTGTTCGATACCGCTCATTTCTCCCCTCTTAGATTCCCTCCCTTCTCGCACTCGTTCACCCGCCGTCTTCTTTCAATGGGCTTCCTCCCTCCCTCGCTACTGTCTGTCTCTCCTCCGTCATGTCTTTCTTCTTCTTATGTGGTATCTTGTCCCAGAAACCTGTTTCGCAGCCAGCCGGAGATCTTACTGGGCCATTCTGTCGGAGCGCTATCCGCATCGGCAGCTGTCTGAAAACTACTTCTGAAGGCACAATGGGGAGCTGCTGTCTGGCCACCCTGATCCCAGACCAGCCGTTTATCTACAACGCCACACTCGTCTCTGTGCCTCCTCATCATGACGTGCAGATCTGGGAGCAGGAGGAGCTGTGACACGTGAGGGGGGCCAGATATTGAGGCCAAGTGGAGGAATCTCCAAAGTGCTGAAATGGGACGTTTTTTTTTTTTTCCTGATGCACTTACAACTTGAAGTGAGTACTGAGTGATATAGATAAGACGGCTGCGGTGCTGATGTGAAGAGGCCATTTGGGGTCGATGGGGAGTCAAAGGCCGAGGGAAGCCGAGGCAGAAGGGAGGGGTTGTGGCCTCGAAGAAAGACAGGAAATGAGACGGGGAGGCGAGAAGTGCAAAGGAAGAGGAGATAAGAAGAAACCTCAGAGAAAGACATCAGAGAGAAGGGGAAAGAGTGTGGACAAAAACAAAAAGATCTCCACAACACTCCTGCTAAGCTCCTGAGAAAAAAAAAAAACTGTTCTTGATTTGAGTGGGGGTTGTGGATACGATAATTCAAAGAACCCCTGGTTAGATACAGTCTAAAGAAACACTCACATCAGAAAAAAAGAAAGTAATGTGGCTCTCGAAATGCTTATCATTTCTCGCGTTTGATGATTTTTTAAAGCTCTATAAAGCACTAAATGGGTTGTGTGATGGCAAGAGCCTAATGAGGCATTTTGAGACTATATGGAAACATTTATATTAAAACACAGACAAACCACATTTACACATTTTTTAAACATCAAACTCCAAGATTTCATTCATATTTTGCTTTTATTTTGTCTTATTTTGCCTGGTATTTTTGCCTTAAAGGACTACATCATCTTTATTTTTGTTGCTATACACTACAAAAGTTTTAAACTTCAGATGTGTTATCCTTCCATCAGCCATGGCAACCACTAGTTTCCATTCAGACTCTTGAAACTTGCCTGAGTAGTATAATCCATCACAAGTAAACAGAAACATGGGGAGGGTGGCTAAAACTACCAAAATGAGTCCCAGGTTATTATGTTTGTTTTTTTTCCCCAGAGGGATCGAAAAGGCCTCCAAAACTCTCCGCCAAAAGCTCCTGCAGCGCCCAGTGCAGACAACTAATGTGCGTCCTTTACCTTGTGAGCGGCCCCTCCGTGGATGATGGACTTGATGAAGATACCGAGGTCTTCTCCGGTCTCTCTGGACTTGTTGCCCTTCAGGCTGACCCCCAGGCCGGCCGAACCCGTTTCATTGAGGGGGATCTCGTACATCAGCTGCTCCCTGCCGTCCTCCAACACCACGCTGTTAGAGTCCTCACCTTTCTGAAAGAGAGAATGAAGGAGGGATGGACGGATACTGGATTTAGACAAATATTCAAGACTTTGACCTGAGGTCAGAGCTTTTTCTCGACATGTTATGTTAAAAGATGCTATTCTAGACAGGAAAAAGTGTTCATACACACACCTAATACCTGCTTTACATAATAACTGCTGTGTATGATTGCCTACGACTGAGGTAAGAGCAGCACATCTAATGCACTGACTGATAATGCATGCTCCTACATCACACTGATTACACTCCACACCAAAAACCTTGACAAAAAAAAAAAAGGAAAGGAGCGAGAGGGAAGGAAACAAATTCAAGAGTCAGATGGAAGATGGCTGCGGGGAAGAAAAACGCAAGTCAGTAAGAGAAAGGAAAAGCGGGAGAGAGGAGCAGGTGTTGTGTGCTGGAAAGAGAGATGAAGGTGTAGTGAGAAAAAGAAGAAAGCTTCTGTAGAGAGGTTATTCCATTTGGAGATGAAAGGCGCAGACGGAGAGCGAGCCATTTCTAAAGGAAACATAATAACCTTTTCATACCTCCTCCTGGAGCACAGTGGGGGAGGAAGGGGGGAGGAAAGAAGAGGAGGAGGAGGAGGAAGAGAGTGGATGGAGGCGCAGAGGAGCATTTAAAAGTAATAACCCATCCCCTGAGGTATAGCCCCTTCTCTCGTTCACAACCCCCCACCCCCTCCCCTCCCTCCTCACTCTTTACATTTCAACCTAATCTCTCAATCTTACTGTACCTCTTCCTCAGCTCCTCCTCCTTCTCCCCAGACTCCTCTTCCATCTCTACCTTCTACAGGTCTCTCTCTCTACACCTCGCACCCACTCGCCCACTATTTAATCTGGAGGAAATGACCATTGTGGCGGCAACGGTGGCACTGCTCCGAAAATGAGATGGAGGACGGGAGGGGAAAAAAAAAAAAAAAAGAGGCAGCAAAAGAGAAAAGGAAAATGTCTGTCATTAGAGGGATGGCAAAATGGAGAGCAACTGGGAAAAAAATGCCAGGTTTAGTCACCCAGGGAAAAGAGGACCTGTGCTGGGGAGGCGCCTCAATACCACTTCACTCCCAAGCCTTATTTTTCTTTGAGGAGGAGGGATGGAAGGTCAAGAGGGTGTGTGTGTGTGTGTGTGTGCATGCATGTGTTCACATATCTCAACATCTTTTTTTATTCTCGCTCTTGTTGCTGTGGTGGAGACTGAAAGTAGCTCGGGGCTTGTCTCAGTCCGGGAAATATGATGAAGAAAAAGACAACAGCCGCTCAAAACTCCACCCGGGCTTATAAAGTAAGGAAATGTCAAAGTGAATTTTGCAGGAATATGCATAAACATTATACCAGCCATACCAGTTGTCACAGCTTTAAAGATCTGAGTAACCATACCAGGATTGCAGGAGCCTTACATCAGGCACCTTGCCCGCTACTGAATCAGGAATCCATGTTCACATTTCCCCTCTCATCACGACACAAGGACGAAGGATGTGGGAGGAAAAGATGTCCTGCAGTGTAATTTTGCAAAACTCACGACTGCAGGAGCTCGCTCTCAACCTCGCTATGATCCTCCAGCCCCCCAAAGTCTGTCTCCCTCTGTCAGCACTATTCTGTGCTGCTTCGTCTAGGCGCTTAATTAAAACAACAGCCTGCTGAAGCCTGAAGGCCGGGAGAGATGCTCAGCTCCAACGTGTGAGTCAGAACTCTCAACCCTAAAAAAAAGCTAAAAGAGCTAAACCTGGGAAGTCACCTGCACTGATCCAGTTCCCTGTATTAAATAACTGCTTTCAGTTCGGATTTAAAATCATAATTTGGTCGAGTTAATAGACACGAACAGAGAACCTGTCATGGTCAAAAGGAATCAGTGTTACCTGTTGATAGGAAATAAACAGTCATGTGCTTTATTGACCTCAAACTCCTCTCTAAGTGATTTTGTAGCACAATTACAATGTCACGCTACTTCTGCCCTTAATTCTGGCACATAATTCGGAACTCACTACAGTTTGCTCCTCAGGTAAAGGTTAATATATTAAATATGCAATTTCGATATGAGTCACGATTTCAGTTGGAGTGGTCATTTTCGCATTTTATTTTCACTGAAAACAAGATATAAAAATGATGATGTGATTTTTCTTGTACCAAAAAAACGTTCCCTTACATCTGGAGAACATGATATGTAGTTACAGAGACGCCCCCGGCTTCATTTATGGGATGTTGTGACGCATTTTACGTTCATCAAAGAAACTGCAGCTCCTGCGATTTGGATATTACACTTGGCCATATTGTAATTTCGATTAAGTGTTCAGCCGTAGTAAATATACCAGCACACATCACTGAAATATAAATTAATGTGTATGTAAAGTATAAATTAATGAACATACGGGTGTACTGCCATGTCCCTTGTCACTACTGTATCTCTCTTTCCAGATCAGCAGGCAACTTTAGGCAACTTTAACTCGTTTCAAAAAGTTTAACTGCCGGACACAAGCCGTCTTCCGACTTCACTGACAGGTCTGATCTCAGTGTGTGTGCACTTTGACGGCGTCGAGTTTCCACATCACACTGATTGGCTTCAAAATCAATCAAAACTTCAGCGGATGAATGTGAAAACTGTCTTTCAGTGTGAAGCTCCGCACATTAATCATTCTTCAATCATCCAAGCGAAGTAACAATAACAGGAAACGCATTTTTGCTTGAAGAGGGACACCTAAGTCAAATGTACAAAACAGTTCTATATGATAACAAAAAGATAGATCGAACAAACCGTGCCCTTCAAAAGTCTATTTTCAGTCAGGGCTTATTTTTATCAACAAGGCGATTCACGACGCTGTTACTCAAAACCAGAGGAATTACAAAGACAATCCGCTATTTCCTGCTCGAGAGACACTTGAGAGGACTCAGATGGCAACCTGGGAGGTTTTAAATACCTCTGTGATCTCGCTGCAACAACACACGAGGTGAAGGTGGCCAGATCAGAGCGCAGCAGGCTCTGAAGGCTCTGGAAACAAAACCACAATATTGGAAAAGTTGTTAAAATGAAACTCAACGTGTTTATTTGTTGTATCTCACTGCTGATTTAGATCTATTTACACAACCGACTGGATCTCAGTGGTGGTCCAAAAGCAGGCACACACTCCTATATCCCCTCTAATGCCCTTTCCTTGGGGGCAGATTGCGTCCCCAGGGTGGCTGAGACCCCTTGGCTTCCGCTCGTGACTCCCCCCCCCCCCCGCCCCCTCCTCCCTCCACTGGTAGCCCGCAGCAATGGCTCTTTAACAAGCTTTTAGCCAGGAGAGAGACCACCCTCTTCAACACCCAAATGAGGAGACAAAAAGGCGCTTTCTCTTACCCCAGGGTGGATGGCGAGGAGGGGGTGATACACAGCGATTACACACAGAGCCTTTTGTCGCTGAGGATTTCTAAATGGGGGGTTTCAAAGCGGTGGGATTAGCGGTGAGAGCGACATTCAATTAAGATGAGATCTCACCGCGTACGACGCCGACGATGGAGCTGCCAATTAATCGCCTTAATGTCTGCTTCTTCACCGCTTTACACCTTTACCTCACAATGAAGAGAAAGGAAAAGTAAAATGACTGATTGAGGGATAATTCTGGTGCCGGAGGGGAAGGGAGGAGAATGAAAAGGAAAAAGTGACAGAAGAGCTCCATCCTTGAAGACAGACTGACAGAAAGAAAAAAGAGGGATAGATGTACGGGATCGGAGGATGAATTTAAAAAAAAGGAGACGGAGGGAGAGAGAGGACAAGCTGAGTGAGAAGGTAACAGCAACACAGCAGAGTCACTCTCTGCCTGACGACCCCCTTTTCCTGTGCACTGGCCTAGGCTCGCTGGCAACTGAGGGTCAACCATGTGCAGAGTGACCCCTCCATCCTGTCCTTGGCAAACTCATAATTCTGCTACAGTCACACACTTTCACTCACACAAACACACACATCACGCTTAAAAAAAGAAAAGAAAAAACTCTCCACATCTCCTAGCATCTCTCTAATCTCGGCCCTGAAACAAAACGAGGCCCCGCGAAATAATGAGAGCGCGGAGCAATGGAGACGCAGAAATGCTGACAGGAATGAAAGTGTGATTAGAAAGTTATCACTTTTTAATTACTTAGGGAGTGTGTGAGAGTACGGGAGATGGGGTAGAAAATCAGCGTCCTTTTGTATCCTTATAATGAGGCTAATTTGAAGGCTTTATTGTTATTCCTTTGACTGAAAGAGACCACTCTGCCTCGCAGCACTGCCAAGCGCTTTCACAGAACCGCACGCTGCTCATGAAACATCAATACTATTGAAACTAATCAATCAGTAGTTCAGTTAGTTCCTCTAAAAGTCTACTTTACTTACACAATGGAGATACAAAAGACTGTACGAGTGCTGGAGGCTGGCGGCAGGGTGAGGCTGTAAATACAGCGGCTAAGCCTTTTAACCACATGACCCGGGTTGAAACTGCCGCGTCAGCAAGTGCTGACGTTTCCTTTGGCTAAAACACTGAACCCTGACCAGCTGACCTCTGACCTGCCGCTGTCCCTCAGCCGAGGCAGTGCTGTACATGATCCAGTTTATTCCTACTGACACACAGAGCAGCACGTGTCCTGGCACTTAGTTGAACACTTTTCATGCACAAGGAACCATGTTAGTGGCAGAAGTGGTCAGGAAATTTATTTTGGTGTGATTCAGTCTTTGTTGGACTTTGGATCCAATTATTTTGGCAAAAAAACACAGTCTTTCTCATGCTCAGACCAACATGTAAAAGAAATCAGGTTCATCATGGAAAACACAGATGTTTTTACCGGGTTCCTGGTAAACCCTTTACTTGTGTAATAAGCTCAGGTTCCAGACAATGTTGAGAGTTAATTAACTGCATATAAACAGACTTGTAGTAGGCAGTCCACAGGCCAGAAAAACTAATGAGCATTTACAAGAAAGCTGGACTGAAGAGGCTTTTTCAGGATTAAACCCTTGAGCAGAAGTAGGGGGTCTTTACTACTGCTCCACCTATAGGCACAGTGAGGGATGCAGCGAATTTCAACAGGTAAATAACCTGATTACATCATCAAACTGTGTCATACATGGTTCCAAATATCCCATCTGATATAGATTTTTTTTCTATTCAAATAAACCAAAGATCTACTTTCATGTGCATGGCTTCAGCTGGACAAAATGTTCCCACAGAAAACCAAATTAAACCTTGATATATGCAATAAGCTGAGATTCATTATCTGTAGCTGCAACAGTGAGGTTAGCCAAGGAAAACTTAAAATTGTAATTCAGCCAATTAATCTCAGCAGCTACTGGATATAAAACTGCGATAATGAACTACTGATTTGCATCTGATGGTTATTTGAGCAAATATGACCGTAGCACTGTGGATACATAAAGGCAGTATTATTTTTTTTTTACAAGATATCGCAGCCTCTAAAACCTTAATACATATTCATGAGGCACCCACACCAAGTCAGACAGACATGCAGACAAACAAGTTTTCCTACGACAGAAGAGGCAGATGGCCACGTCGGCTTAATGCGTCTCCATCATCATTACATCTTTTGTGCGACCGAATCGTTGGGAGCTGCTCGTTGCTAAGTTCTCCACATTAATTTTCACGACGGTTTACAAACGGAGAGCAGCGGGGGAGAGAGTCGGGCGATTAAAACAGACAAGGGGAGAAAAACAAGAGAGATAAAAGAGCGAGAGACAAGGTTTGCATTTTGGAGGAGGGTGGAGATTTTGGAAAGGTGAGGGTGGTGTTTACTGTGGGATGGAAGGATTTAGCTGCATCTTTTTTTTCTCTTGGGTTTGCTTCTTGTCAAGTACACAGTACATTAGCTTGCGTGTGCGTGTGTGTGTGTGTGTGTGTGTGTGTGTGTGTGTGTGTGTGTGTGTGTTTGCATGGGCTCATTTGGCTACTTCTAATGATGAACTTTTTCTCTGTGGATTCATCTGTGTATTTTTGTAATTCGTCGCTTTTTGAGGGTCTGCACATCTAAACTCAATAATGCAGCAGCTCAAGCGTGCCTCTAGAGTGCATGTGTGTGTGTCTGTGTGTGTGTGTCTGTGTGTATGTATGCGCCTATGGGACATCAAACTGTCTTTGAGGTGGAGGACTGTGCTGGAGATAAGGGCCAGATCTCACGGGGCACCAATAACTTCAACAGCCTGGATAGAGACAGGACTGAAAGCTCTCTCTCATTCTCCCTCTCCACTATCCCCCTCTCTCTCTCTCTTTAAGCCTCTCTCTAATGCACAAATACAAGCAAGTGTTAGATGAAGACTGTAGAGGCTCTTCAAAGTCACTTGTTATGCCAAGACTGCTGGGCCATTAATGAGGGCAAACTATTTTCGGAAGCAGTAACTCGGCTGTTTAAAGACTGTGTGATGTGTTTGTCTGTGCACATGCGTGCGTGTGTGTGTGAGAGAGAGAGAGAGCACTTGTGTTCCAAGTTTTTTTTTTTTTTTTTTTTTTTAATCAAGGACTAGGTGTTTAGGTGTGTGTGTGTGTGTGTGTGTGTGTGTGTGTGGACTCTAGGTGTGAATATGCATCAGTCACTACAAAGCCCTGCGTGCCTTTCTCACAGCTCTTTGAAGTAAAGGAAAGGGAATAATCAGAATAACCACAGAGGACAGAGGGGAGAGAATAGAAGCGCGCAGGCGAAAACATGATTTACAGGGAGCAGGAGACTTTCAAGGGGCCACCTGGCTGTGTGTGTGTGTGTGTGTGTGTGTGTGTGTGTGTGTGTGTGTTTAAAAGTGTGTGTTTATTGATAAAAATGCCCCCTGTGAGGCGCAGTCAAACTGTGGCAGCTTCACAGGCCTGACAGAGACCTGTGACCCCATCAGCCGCTACAGGTAAACGGTCACTTAACACCCGTGGCATGTTGACATGCGCGGACATGCTCACACGCTTCCTGCGGGGGCTGCTGTGGCTTGTGTGTGTGACTTCCTCTGGCATCGCTGTGTCAACAAAACCAGAGTGGGACAGGAAGGCCGGAGCACGCTCGCGTGTGGTGTTTAGAGGCAAAAGGGCATCGACGTAAAAATTGGGAGAGGAAAAAAGAAAAAGTGACACAATGTGCAGGAAATGTTTTTTAAAAAAAAAAAAAAGAAAAGAGGAGTGCAAGAGGACGACATGAAGAGGAGGAGGAAGAAACGGCGAAAGTGAAGACCACCACGGAAGATAAATGATCCACAAAAGAAACAGAGGTGACTGACAGACAAAAGAGGAGAAGAGAGAAGGGGAACTGTGTGAAGGCGCAGGAGGCTGGGTGAGGACACGGATGCTGTGTTTTTGTGCGTTTCGCGCTCTCCTACCAGTTCCCGAGGCAGGAAGATGTCCTCCTGCCGTGCCACCACCACACACACGTTCTCTCCCTGCTTGGTGCTGCGCAGCATGCCCACGAGTTCCTCCTGGCTACGGCCTGTCATGTCTACTCCATTCACCTACACACACACACACACACACACACACACACACACACACACACACACACACACACACACACACACACCACACCACCACACCACAACACCACACACACACACACACACACACACACACACACACACACAAAAGAAAGCACATATGCACATGAGTAGATTAATGCAAAGTCGACATTTATAGAAGATCAAACAGTGTGTTCTATGTTTTAAGGGTCATTTCATCCAAAATAATGTAAAAACATATTTCCCCCAAAAGCCTCTAATTAAAGTTTTGGTGCCATCTGTCTGGTTTTTGAGTTTTCTGCCTCCAACACACACTTTCAGAGGGACTATTTCTTTGGCAGAAAGTAGTTCCACTGAAAACAGAACCACTTGAGGTAAGAGAACAAAGAGTTTTTTTTGTAATTTAGGTACACACACAGTTAAACCCAAAGAGATGATATGTCTCAGATTGTTTCAGTTATGGCAGTGACACTAAAGTCATCCTGAAACATAATGTGTATGTGGACCCATGCTTTGTAAAGTGCAATACCCCGGTTTAACCAGCAGGGGTGCCATTCAATTTGCTGCTAGTAATGATGACGGCATCCTTGTCACTGTGACTGCCGCTATTCTGCTCAGTGGGACATCACCAGGCTGAGATGTGTCTCACCTCCAGGATGCGGTCTCCGGGCTGCAGGCGGCCGTCGTTGACCGCCGCACCTCGCGGCAGGATGTTCTTCACCAGGATTGGCCCTGGCGCGTGGGCCGAGGAGTCCCGGGTTACCACGGTGAAGCCCAGACCCTCTGCGCCTGTGGGAACAAAGCAGCGTGCGTCACGGTGTGTGTTAGGGACATCAATCCCCCTGCAGACGAGACTTAATTATGAATTTTATGACTTTTTAATTTCGTTTTAATTGAATTTTCCCTCTTGTCTCCCTATTCTGTCACTTTTCTCCTTTCTTTCTCCTTCTCCACTCGCCGCACAGTTTTCCCTCTCTCCTTCTCTCCTGTTCTACTGAAGCCAGTCTGTGGTTTTAGCATCATCCTCCACATTAACTACTGTTTAAGTGCCTGTTTTCCTCTGGGGGTTAGTTGCCTGGCTCAGCCTCTGAGCCGCCAGGAGAAGGCTTCTCTCCTCGCCGGATTAGACAGACTCTGCCTTTAATTTCACGTGTGAGCAGGCCTAACGGTGGCTGATGAAGGGAGGTAGAGGGAGAAGATGGAAGGAAGGTGGGGGCGGCGGGAAGAGAGAGAGAAAGAGAGAGGGGGAGAGAGATAGAAGAACCTGAGAAATATTATTCTCTTCTCTAGCTTCCCTCCCTGGGGAGGCAACGTGATTTCCACAAAGATTTTCCTTGTGCATGTGATCCTCCGTTTATCTGTGTGTATATACATTTACAAGTGTGTGTGTGTGTGTGTTTCTGAGGCCACACACACACACACACACGAGCCATCAACCCCCAGAGCCTCCACCCTCTCCCTTTTTCACGGCCTCACAAGCCCCAAGCCATGAGTGAAATGTGCCACGCTCTGTGTGTGTGTGTGTGTGTGTGTGTGTGTGTGTGTGTGGGGGGGGAGTGTGTGTGTGTGTGTGTGTGGCCCCCCACCCCCCGCCACACACCAACAAA